TAATTTGTCCTAAACCAGGACAGCATTTAAATCAAGTTTAAAGACCAACGAGTATAATGAAATACGGACTGAGAAAATGGAATTTGTTTGTGTCTACATGCTCCTACTAGCATGATTATTCCCCTATTGGAAACTTTTGCCTGTCAATCCCCAGCTATTTAAAACTGCAACAACAATATCCAGTTGTTACTTTCTTGTGTCCTCAGTCTTTATCCTAGCTTTTGTTAGGGACAATGCAGTGGTATTCATCAGCAACAATAAGCCTGTTATGTTTCATTGTGTTTTTTCCAAAGCTATACAATGTTCTAGCCATTATGGAAGGGCTGCAGTCAGCTGAGTGATGTTTACATGTTACTTCCATACCTTAATAAGAGATATAAAAGACAGTGTATTGTAGCCAGCAGGGGAGAGTTTCAGCTTGGAAGGCCAGGACTTCTGCCTCATATAGAAATGTAATTGGGGAAGATAGCACTGCACTGCCTAGTGTGCTTTTATTTTTGACCTCTGCTTTAGTGCCACAAGTGTCAGTAGTAGCTGCAGCAAACTGCTTATTCATGCTGCTGCTGTGATCATTTGCTTTTGGGCGGTATTAATTTTGTGGCTGTGCTAAGTTAGGAATCCATTCCCAAGGACATCAGTGGCGTGGCTGTCTGGCTTGTCCTGACAGCGGCCGGTCTCATCCATGTGATGGGGCTGTTCTTGACTGTGTTTGCTGGCATTCCCATAAAAGCATTCCCACATACCTATGCCAGCAGGATCAGCACTTTTTAACAGGGTCTTTCCAGCTTTGTCTAGGATGGTGCCTCACAGTCACATGTTGGAGGCGATGGATGTTTCTGATACATTCCTTGGGCGTTTCTCTGCATTTCTCAGCCCCAGTTTGTGTGGCTGGGCTCTTCTGTTCTTTGTAGTGGCAGCTCATTTCGCAAGACTCATGGAAGTCATACGGCTGCCTGAGGTCATCACAGAGGAGATGAAGATCCCAAGTTTGCAAATATGTGGGTTGAGCCTGGGGGTGCTTTTCTGGCACAGCTGTCAGGCAAAGCAGAGGTTCCAACACTCTTCTGTTTTTCAAACACGTGTTTTTCAAGGCATCCTTGACTCTTGACGCTTTGGCTTCTGGGAACTATAACTATTGTCTGGATTCATGGGAGGTTGAGAAAGAGCAGGAATCCTAATAATTAAGACTTCTTGGAGGAAGAAATTAAATATGTTCGTTAGTTTGGATATGGGTGGAGCAGGATTCCCCTTTCTGTAGCCAGCTGGAGAAACATCTTCATATCCCCTGGTATCTTTGAAAGTAACAAGGCAGGAGGAAGATCTGAGATGTTCTGGTAGTTGCTTGCTTTGAGGTATTGAGAATCCAGTGCTAAATCACTCAGTTTATTAGTCAAAAGCTATTTTATGGTTTCAAACATTCTTCATGATAAAAAAAAAGCTGTTTTTGTTGAACAATAAAACTTGTGACCACAGGTAGTATTCTTAACTATATATAGATGGCTTTTGGTGTTTCTTCCCATGACTGCTCTGTGACTGTTTATGTCATTTACCATTAGTCATCAACAGACTGTAGAGGTTGCTGGTTGAGGAGGTTGACTCAAACTGAGTGGTTAGTCAAGTGCTATGGCAAATGCCAGCCTTTCTGTTGAAGGATCATGTCTCAAGACAGTGCCCATTCTGGATTGGGTCCTGATTGCGAGTTAGGAAGGGTTTCTGCTCTGTGGTCCCATTTGTGTGACAGTTTTATGATTCTGTGATATATATGCCTGAGAAAGCTTGAAAAGGGGCTTTAGCCTTCTTCTCAGTCCATATTTATCAGTTCTGGTGGGAACTCTTTTCCCATCACTAATACGGTTTTCTTCTTCAGGAGATGAGGGAAATGAGGTTCACTTTGCTGTGAGTCACTGGATTTTGGTCCCAGCTAAAGACAGGATGTTGAGCAGGAGGCGCTGGTTCTCTTACCCATCTTAAAATTGCTTATGGGCTTGGTTACTGTAGCTTGTCCATTACTGTATAACTCCAGGTTAAACCCCATCACAACCAGGCTGGGAAGGAATCTGTCTCTGTATGAGGTCCTCAGAGACTTCTGATTCTTTGCCTTGCTCTGCAGTGCAGAGCACACTGGATTAATCTCACCTGGAAAATCCACCCAGTAAACTCCCTGTAAGTGATGCTTCTTATTTTTCTTGAAGCTATTGTATTTATAGCTTTTGATATTTTACTGTAGGCCTTGTACTCCTTGGCTGTATGACGGAATTCTGTACAGACTATTATCAAACGAAAACATCAAAATGGGAGAACTAGGAAAGAATGGCTGATTGGTGTTGTCAGGCAGCACACAGAATCTTGCGTTTTGGTACTTTTTTTCAGGTGGACAAGGCCATTGTCCTCAAGGCCCATTAAGCAGTGAAGCCCCTCTGTGGTGTGTGGTTGCCACTGGAAATATTGCCAAGTTAACGGGGAAGTGGGAGTGTGAGAGTGTGTGGGACTTGCTTCCCCACTGCCTGCTGTCTGTGGCGGCCACAGAGATGTTTTGATTGAAAACTTGACTGCTGCACTAATGTGCAGGCATTGGCAAGCTGCTGAATGCTGAGAATGCTTCTAGTGCACATATATTTCAGAATTGTTTTAATTAAAACCAGAAGTTTAGTAAAAGTAGGGAAGAAATATTCAATTTTAATGCTAAACACTTTAAGTGACCGTTTTCCCCCTTCTGTGTTGAGCATTGGAGACCTTACTTATTCCTCTTTATGAAATCTGAGGTTACACATACGCCTACAGTTGTTGTGTCACCTTCTGCCTCTCTAAAGCTGAGTGTTGACTGCAGGTGTTCTGTGGAGACTGAAGCAAAATAAAAATGCCAAGTAATTGGTACCCCTGGCTCTCAATCCAGTGTGTCTTGTGTTGCAGAACATAAGTAATATGAAAGGGAAGATCTTCAGAGAGCTGCATACAAATTTTGACTGGTTGTGGTTTTGGAACAAGGAGATACAGAGAATGCTTTTTAAGCTGTTCTATCAGATGTCATCTCTGTTTTAATATTTTATGTGATGTGGCTTTTTTCAGATGATCAGCTGGATTATCTGAGATCAGAGAAAAGGGAGTGGTACTATTCAGCTGCAGAAAATAGGAAGAAAGTGCTGCCATGGCAGGGTAGGGCATAGACACACTGATTGCAGAGCACTGACCTTGTTTGTGGACCTTGTTTCAATGTACACATCTCACAGATAGCCAGTCAGAATTACTGGAGGTGTTTTATTTATAATCAATGAGTTTAAAACAAACTTCAAAAAACTTTATACAACACTCTTTGAGAATTTTCCCCCTGGGATTTGTTAGATGAGACCGTTAGATATTTGTTTTCTGGACAATTTTCCTGTTTGTGTGCTTACTAATTATAATGGAAAGACCTACTAAATTATGTATCTGTGTTAAACAGCTTGCTTTTCAAACAAAGGAAATTGGCCACAACTCTCATTTATTTTTATCTTTCTCTTAAAGGGCAACACTTTAAGGAAAATCCTCCTGTATCGATACTTTAAAGGGGAATACGGAAGTGGTGTGAATGGGCCCCTGTCTGCCAGCTACAACAAAACTGCACAAGTTGGAGGTAAATCAACACACATAATTTCAAGAGAGAAAAATTAGCAGCACCATTTTTTCTAATAGGCGCATTGGACATGATCCAGGCATTCAGTTGGTAAATAAATCAAACATGTTCTGTAAACACTTAGAAGAGAGGTAGTATCAGACTCTTCTATTTTTAAGTTGCACACATTTGTCTCAGATGGTGCGTTTGGAGGTACCAAAGCAGGTACCAGTAAATTCCCATCCAGAAATTCAGCAAAGCAGGAAACTTTTGAAGAGAGATGGTGTTGTTTCTGGAAATTAAAGAATTTTTTGATGTTCCAGATCCTTTATTGATATGTGAAAAAGATCTAAGGAAAAGCTTTTCACAAAGATACTGGTTAGACAACAGAACAGATTTTCCTGAGAGGTTGTAAAAGGTGTCAGTTCTTTTTACAACTTTACTGGACAAGACTCTGACGATCTTGTCCTATTTTCCTGTGAGCAAGAAGTTTCAGTAGATGATCTCTGTAGGTCCATTATAAGCTAATTTTTTGTATCATTTTGCTGTAGAAGCCACAGGAAGTTACTGCAGGGTGGTTTCTAAGATAACCCATAAAAATGGATGTCATAGGAAATGAGGCTGGAGCTAGGTATAGAGTCAGGTCAGAAATGCATTTTGCATTTTCAGTGTACACTGAAGGCATGCCAAGATCTGTCAGCTTCTGCAGATGTTACCCAGCTGTTCCTCCTTTACTATTTCAGTATAGACTCTGAAAATCTTTGCAGTCTTAACATTCTATACGCCAAATTTTGCTCTCTAACAAATAAGAGACTGAAGTTTTACTATCTTTTTAGTTCTCTCTAAGAAGTGTGTGTGTGTATGGTTTTATCACAAAGTCTGAAGCATTTTAATCAGTTTAATCAAAGTGGTGCTGGCTGATTAAAGCAGTACTGTATTTTTACTAATGAAGTAGGTGCAGTTACATCTTTAGAGAAGTAAGTGTAGCAGGAAAGATGATAATCTGTGATAATAAAAGGTGGTTGATTTAATGAGCTAATACAATTTAGCAAAATGTCTTCAACCTACACCTTTAATTTGGATTAACTCAAGTCTGTGTTCTTAAAAAAAGCATCATGATGATAATGGTGATGATGATGATCTAGGAGTTGGCAAAAACATTTGACTAGAAGGTCAGACCCATAACCAGGGTGAATTTACCAGGACACAATTTTAGTGTAGATTAGGCCTGAGATTGAAGAGCAGATTTAAAAAGGGTCTCAGGGCACTGACCCTAATCACAGTTTAGTGTATCAGCAGTGGAATTAAAAATGGTTCAGTGAACAAATCAGTGTCCTTTCCATCTTATTTGTTGTCTGAATATTCTGACAGAACAATGGTGTGGGGATTTGTTTTATTTCTTATTCTTACAGCCCAATACTGCAGTTTCATACAAAAATCTTGTTTTTATCAAAGAGAATTTTGCCTGACAGAATTTCAAAATTAAGTGTATTACGTTGCTGTTGTGTGCTTTATCACTACTAATAGGTTCATTTTCATATATGTGTGTGAAGCAAACACGAATGGCATTTGTGTATTTGTTTAATTTGCAGGTGGATTTTCAGGACAAGATGCAGATAAGTCTGGGGTGACCGTGTTTGATATCCAGTGCCTCCTGGACAAAGAAGGTGCCTCAGAACTGGTCATAGATGTGATAGTGAACACCAGAAATGACAGGATTTTCTCCGAGGGCATTCTGCTTGGTATTGCACTGCTTGAAGGTGGAAATACGCAAACACAGGTACTTGTTTAATCTGCTTATTCACATATTGATTCTCAGATGCATGTGGTCTGGAGACAAATAAAGAGAACCTTTTTGCTGTGAGTTCTCTGAGAAGTTTGTCGCTAGAATATGTACCACTGTAATACAAACATAAATATGCCCTATTACTATGCAGTAGCTCTTCAGGAGAAGAAAATGTTTTTCAGCTCTCCCTCTCTGTGTAGCACTGTACTGCTTTTAATCTGGTCATTGCCATGTGAGCATTATTCCCAGTTATTTTATGTCAGTCTTTGTAAAATTAAAAATTATAATACTTCTAAGTTTATAAAAGCACATTATTTTCTGTAAACCTTCAGAGACATTTATCAAAATCTCCAAAGAGAAAAAAATCTGGTCATTTGAGAAGACCAGTATCCCAGTTGATAGAAAATATTTGGTTTAAACTATGGTTTCTAGGTGTTTTTCTATATATTTGCTTTAAACTATGGTTTCTAGGTGTTATCACCCATATTTAGCCAAATCAAATGATTGAGGGAAGAGAGAGAATTGATATGATGAGGGAAGGCTGGGAGAGTTGGGATTGCTTGCAAACTGTTGCAAATGGTTCTCAGCCCGCTTGACAGTTATACTAAGGGACTGGAATTAATAACCTAAAATAATATTTAATAATAAATTCTGTCCATGGCACAAAAAATTAATATAATCCGAGCTATAATATTACATATTTGATGTTCCATGCTTTCTCTTGTTGTTACATAATAAGTTACTTTTCACTGTTATTTGTAGATGGAATATAATGACTAGTAAGCCAGGAGAAATGGAGAGTGTCACAAAGTAATTTAACTTCAAGTACAATATTGTAACATTTAAAAGACTGCTAATAGTGCAGTTCACCATTTTACCCAAATTTTAAAATATTATCATCCATCTTTGTTACCAGCCTTGTATATCACTTTGTGAAAGAACTGGTCAGGCAGTGGCCAACATTTGTTCTGTGTTAAGTGAAATAATTATTCGTCATTAGTTTCACAAAATAATTAGTGTGTTTTTGTATTTCTTCTTCCTTAGAAGATTGATATTTAAAGAATTATATTTTTATTGCAGTATTCGACTTACCAGCAACTAAAGGAGCAGAAAAAGTCAGAAAGGTTCTTTAAAGTGCTGTATGATCGCATGAAAGCTGCTCAGCAGGAGATCCGATCCACAGTGACAGTGAACACTATTGATTTGGGGAGCAAAAAGAAGGAGGATGACAGCGACCTCACCATATCTGTTCCCAAAAAGAGAGGTAAGGAGGCACCCCCTGGGAAAGAGGGGAGAAGGGTTTTATATTGACACTGCATGTGCTGCACCACTGATGCTCTGCTGAGTTGATCAATAAGCTTTAATATTAATCATTGTCAATTTGCATATTTTGCCTGTTATTCTCTGAATTACAGTCCATCTCAGGTTGGCCACAAGGAATTAGCTTTAATGAAATCAGTGAAGCTCTGCCAGTTTGCATCAATAAAAGATATTGAGCCATATTTTTAGAGGAGCAGAAGCAGAAGCTGCTGGTATTGGAGATATTTCACAAGAGCAGGCGCAGGAACTGATTTCCCACCCTGTGGTCTTCCCATTGTTCTCATCATTTATTATATATGAGAGAGAAATAGTAGGGCTTTTTGTGTTAATGTTCTGTTTCACTCTGGTTTGTGGTTTATTTGGAATGTGCTATCCCTGCATGAATGTTGCTTTGATATTCTTTGTGAGTTGCCTAGATGTCTTTGAAGAGTTAGACACCAACAAAGAAAAAGTTGCATTCATTGTTATTGTTTTCTTATTGTTTAATCAAATGGGGAGAAAGACTTTCAAAAGTGAAGGAAAATTATCTTCTTTTCAGTTAAGGATTCAACTCTGCATCTGAAAGAGGGAATGAAAGGACAGTTAACAGAGGCATCTTCTGCAACCTCCAAGGCTTACTCTGTGTACAGAAGAGAAATGGACCCAGAAATAGATCTGATGGGCTCAGGAGCAGATGCTGCAAATGCAGAAGAGAAGTCTGCAGAAGAAGCCATCATGAGCCCTGCCATTGCAATCATGCAGCCAATACTAAGATTTCTTCAGCTGCTGTGTGAGAACCACAACCGAGAGCTCCAGGTAAAGTGTTTTGAGCTGAGCTTTTATAGGGGTGTTATTAGAGGGGCTGCACCTTCATAAGGGGAGAAAATCACACCTGTGCCTGGCCCCTGTTACAGAATACGGCTGTTTGAAATGTTGGGGTTTTTTGGTCCAAGGGATAAAAGCACCCTTTTCAGGAACCATTTGGGTTCTGTATTGGAGGAGTGCATGTTTATATCCTCAGAACTGCTTGGCGATCTCAGCACAGTCACATGGAACTGAGCAGGATTTAAATGTCCTGTTAGTAAGGTTCCTTTGCACAATTGGTAGGTCACTTACCATGGACTTGAAGAGCATAGGAAGTTTCTGGGTACTGCCCTTTTCCCAAAGTATCACAATTGAAGGCTTTAAGATGCTCTGTGTGTCCTTACTAACAATTCTTTTTAGAATAGAAAGAAACTACTTTTTAGAATTCTTTTTAGAATAGAAATTTTTAGGTAGAAATTACAGTCCCCATAGCAAAATGTATTTTCTGCAAATATAAATCAGCGCCATGGCCAGGAGTAGTTTCTTCCCTTCCAGCTGTGGTTGGGGTGGTTTGAGCTGAGCTCCATAATGTGCCACCTGACCTGCTTAGCTGTGGGGCAACAGTTTCCAAGAGAAGGGCTGTAATGGGTACCTGGGAGCAGGTCTGCAGGACATATAAAAGACATTTAAGGCCAGTGCAATGTTTACCAAGTTCACTTTCCTAAGCCTTCCCTGCTCTATGATTTAATCAGATAATAGTTCTCAATTGCTGCATTAAGGCCTAATATATTTTCTATAGTAGTGCAGTGTACTTCAATACCTGAAACACAGTGGTCATATGTTTACAAATTGTATCTTTCAATCTTCTCATGAAAAAAAGACTAAAAGACTTTGTTTGCCTTGACTCTCTTCCTTTTTTTGGTTTTGTTTTGTTTTGTTTTGTGTTCCTTTCCTCCACCCACCAGAACTTCTTAAGACATCAAAACAATAAAACAAATTACAACCTTGTTTGTGAGACCCTTCAGTTTTTGGACTGCATCTGTGGGAGCACCACAGGTGGGCTGGGCTTACTGGGGCTTTACATCAATGAGAGGAATGTGGCTCTTGTCAACCAGACGCTGGAAAGCTTGACAGAATATTGCCAGGGCCCGTGCCATGAAAACCAGGTAGGCTCAAAAACTTCTGGATGCAGAAGGCTGTACCTAAATGTTGCTGTCTGGGTGCTTATCACAAACCTTTGAGTATTCCTGATAACATAAATTCGCTTGGAGCTGCTATGACTAGACTTAACACACTTATAGCTTTCATGAAGCCTGAGTGACCCTTTTAAGTCAGAGCTGAAAGCAGACTCTTCCTGTAGTACCTCTTCTTCATCTGAGGGTATGCAGACCTTTTGGAGAGAGTTTCATGTTTTATGTTGCTGTGTCTGTGGCTTAAACCTCACTTTGTGAGACTGGATTTGGAGTCATAGTTTTGGCAGTGCATTGCAAACACAGACTTGTTTGTGTTTCAATGTGCTTCATTTTCACACATTTGCCCTTGCTGGTGTTTATACATCTTGCTAACACTTACTTTCATTATTTCACATAACTGCCACAAAGTTTAACTTATCCTTCTGCCATACCAATTAGCAGCATCTTTAATTATGGTATCAGCAGTGAAATGGACGACACTAAAGACCATGCTTCTGATCTTCTGTGCAGCCTTTGGAAGTCACACAGCTGTGACTTTTGGTAAAAGTCTCTTTAGTGCGGTGCTGAAGAAGTGTAGAAAGGTAAAGGATGTGGTTACATGCATACATACATACATATTTGATCTGAAGAGAACTGCAGTAAAGTTGTCATAGTGGATGAAACTGCAGAATTTTTGGTATGGATTAGCAGTGGGAAAATTGTGGTGAGCAAATTACAGAAGCAATCTGCTCTCTATGCTAGAAATAGCTGAAGAAATACATGCAATTACTGCTTCTTCATTAATGTGCACCAATGAAATGTAAAGTGCTATTACTGCCATTGCTGGTAATCAGCTGCCTTTACTTAATATTTTAAAAACAAACAGAAATCCTTTAGTGGACTAAATTTTGAACAGTAATATTTAAACCACTTTTGGATGGGAGAAGCAACAGTAAAAAAGTATAGCTACAGGACTGGAGATAAAAAAAATGTTACAAGTTAACATGTTCTCCAACAAAGTTATGTGAGAATCACTTGAGGAACACTGATATGGAAGGGATTGATGATTACACTTTATTACTTAGATCTATCTGCTGGGAGGTCACTCAGGATTTGAGTTACACTTGTTTATACCAACTGCAAGTCTAATTCAATATATTTCAGGGGTAAGTGCTCCACACTCTCATTTTCATTTTTCCCCCTCTCTCTGTCTTCCTGGAAGACTTTTCCTTTCTTATTGTCCCATAAACCTGCCAGAGCAAAAAGTGCTATAGGCTCTTGTATAACTGACTGTTATGCACAAAGCCTGGAAGGTCCAGAACTCCAGCTGTAAAGGCATTTGGGAAGTACCACTGGTCACAAATACAGTTATGAATTCCATATCCAGAAATACCCTTCTTTGCAGGACATGTCCAGATGCATGGAAAAACTTTGATTCTCATGAACATTTTGTGCTGTAACAGCAATATTAATGCTGGCTGCTGAGGGCAAATGAAGAATCTGAGCGTGCAAATTTCATTGTGCTTGCAGTCAAGCTTCTCTTTTATGTCTGAGGCTGGCATGTGCTCGGCTGAATCTGGCAATGATCCTGAGGGCAGCTGTCTGCAAGTTGTACCGCTTGGTGCCAAGCCCTGTGGGATTCTCTGGGAGCAGATTTTAGCTTGCACCACCTTTTTTCCAGTTGGGTATTTCACTACTGGCAGTGTGTGGGTTAGTTCTTGTGTGTTAGTACACAAAAGTCTCCCCCAGCACTTCTTGTGGTGTGTTTTCAGGCTGTTTTGCTGTGACTGGAGGTTTCATTGCTTTTGCAAGGTGTTTTAAGTTCTGGGTCCTTCTTTTAGAAATTTGCTGATGAGCGTATTCTCTTCCTCCCTCTTTTTCCCACTCCTCCCCTCCCCTCTACCCCTGCCCCATTCCTTTCTCTTCTCTTGTTTTGCAGACATGCATAGCCACCCATGAGTCTAATGGGATTGATATTATAATTGCTCTCATCTTGAACGACATAAACCCTCTTGGCAAATACTGCATGGACTTGGTGCTTCAGCTCAAGGTACGGTATATGAAAATTTATTTATTTGAATTTGGGCAGCAACAGAAGACATACCTATGGGAGAGCTCTAGGCAGCCTGACATTTACTTAATCTTACCATAGCACAATATACTCAGAAGCCTTTGAAAAAAAAATCTTGCAAGTGAGTTCATCTCAGCTTCTGAATCCTTATCAGGCCCTCTTCCACACTTTTGACCCACTGCTCTGTTTGCGACTATGTCTCAGATTTTTTAAAAAAAAATCCTATCAGTCAGGCATGACACAGCTAGCATGAAAAGTCTGTATTGTGGATGTAAAATCTCTCAAGATTGATAAACAGCCACACTGTACAGGCATGCAACAAGTCAGGCATGCTCACTAAATACCGAACTCTTAAAAATTATGTGAGAAGGAGATGCTGTGAAAAAGAACAATACATCATATGACCTGCAATGTCAAGTAAATTCTTGAACCTTGTTCTCAGTGTCCTTTGAGGGGAAACACAAAGTGTGGAGTGTGAGGGCAAAGCCTAGAGTGGGAGGGCTTGTAATGTAATTTTGTTCTGTATTCTGGGGAGAGTTGGACAGGCTCATAGATAAGTTTCTCCTGTCTGTGTGCCAGTGCATGCAGAGGGGAACTCTGCAGCTGCACTGTCTGCCAAGCAGGGTAGAATCTGTCCAGAAGGAGCCCTGGGTTATTGCCTTTTCTTGCCTCCCAAATTAAGTATTTCCATTGCAGATGGTCTGTTTCCTCCCCAAACCAGCAAATACTTTGTGGTAGCTGCATTGCATCATATTGGCAATGTTATACATGTCTAAGAAAATAATTAATATAGCTATATATCATGTACAATGAAACATTGAATCAACAGTGCCTTACATATGATTTTAATAAATGTAATTACTTTTTTGAATGGCAATGTAATTCAGGCCCCCCTCTAGCAAAACACTTAGGCAGACATTTAGCTTTGAACATGCAGACAGTTCTTTTGATGTCCAAATTTCAGTCTCTGTGAAGATGTATCTGCATTCACTCCAGTGCCATTTTGATTTGCCATTGTCATGAGGCTAGCAAATGATTGCAGGACAGCTTTTCTGTGTAGTGACCAAACACGGAGCTTAGAGACACCTCTGCAAGGACCAGTGTGAACCTGTTCACAGGAGGCTGGCTGTGCTCAGACTCACTCAATTAGCAAAAATTGTGATGAATGATAGCAGAGGTTCAGACTGTGGAAATGATTCAGATTTTGCAGAGTCACAGAGTCATTTGCTTTGGTAGGGATGTCTTTAGGTCATCTTGTCCAAACCCTCTGCTCAAGCAGGATCAGCTAGAGGTTTCTCAGGATCGTGTGCAGCTGAATATCTCCACAGCTGGAGACTCTACAACCATTTTGGGCAGCCTATCCCACTGTCTGATCCCTCTCACAGTATGAAAGTGTTTTCTGGTGTTTAGATAGAATTTAATGGGTGTTTTATTTTGTCTCTTGCTCTTTCACTAGACACTGCTGAGAGGGGTCTGGCACCCTCTTCTGCATTTCTTCCCACTAGGTATTTATATACATTGATAAGATCCATCTAAGCCATCTGTACTGCAGACTGAACAGTCACAATTTTCAGTGGCTTTTTATACGAAAAATGCTCCATTCCCTTCATGGTTTTTATGGCTTTTTGCTAGACCCATTCCATTATGTCCATATCACTCTTGTACTGGATCTGGACACATTGCAAAATGTGATTTCAAGAATTGGATCCAAATTAAGAAGCTGCTGTTTTTTGATTTTGAGTGGCAAAACATTGAAGTAATAAAGCAATGACTTTATCAAGTAATGTTTAACTGTCAGTGTTCACAGGCAACTTTGAAGTTGCAAATACATAAATTTTGCACTGAAAACACACAAAGTATGCAGGCCTATATGTTTACACTCACAAACAAGCTCAGACACTGTTTTCAGGGAACATTATATGTTGAACTTACACCCTCCAACCAAAGGAAAGGCAATGCAGAGTTATATTTTCCCATGCCATCTTAGTTTAGCTTGTTTTGCACTTAGTTTTTGATGTGGCATTTAATTACATCTTCATGGATTATATTTTCCAGTGGACTCCCAAATCATTTAGTGAGCAGAGCAGACAGTGTTCACTGAGTGCAGAGATGGCTAGTGTTCTATTCTGCTTCTTTTTATTTCGAGTGTGACCCCCTGGCCATCCTTACTGACCAGTGTGTAAACCCTGGCACACACTAAGAGCTCAATATCTGCCACATCTGGGACAGGATGAAGAGACATTGTTAGTCTAAGAGTAAAGAGAGTCTAAGAAAAATGTCTTCTTTTTTTCCCTCATAGCTGTATCTAGTTGCTTCACTCATTAATTTGTTTTTCCAAAATTTTTATCAGGAGATGAGATGGGATCCCAGGTAAAGGTGAGTGAAGAGTAGAAGAACTTTGGGCTGTGCTAGTTTTTAGTACCTGGAAACTGATTTTTCACTGTACTAATGTTTTATGAACTTTGTGCAGTGTTTTCCAAATTATGGATGTCTTTTCCTCATTGATATTTGGGATTAGATCCTAGGCTCTTCATATATGCAGAAAGTGAGGAATAAGTAGCCAAATAACCATCACAAATGCCTGCTGTAATTCTATGCCATGGCAAGGCACTTCTGTTGAGTCAGTAACAAGAAGCTGGCTGTTGATGACACAAAATCCTCTACCTTTCCCAACTTCCTGGAAGCTGCAGCAGGCTTCTGTCCATCCCCAGGGTTGTCTGCACTGGCAAAGAGTTTCAAAGTCCTCCTCAGCCATGAGTGAGGGGACTTATGCCTTCCTCCTGTTCCCTCCCTTTCCTTACCAAGCTACCTGGGAGCCTGTCATGGCCCCTTCCCTCCTCCTCAGTTTGAGATCCTACCGATGCTACCACTTGGCCACAACTGTAAGGGAAATCTGCAGCAGAAAAGGAAGCATCCTGCTTTTCAGAGCAGCATCCTGTCAGGAATCCTGTTCAAAGTGCTGTTCTCTCCCTCCCCCTGTTCTTGTTCACTGTGCACATTCAGCTTCTGCAGTGTTTGTTTCAAGGTAAAGGGTCTGATTATACCTTTCCCATGGATGGTCCTCATTTGATTTAGAAGCAAAAGGAAAGGGATGTGGCAAAACTCATATGGAGTGCTGTTCTCCTTGAGCCAGTCCCAGTTAGGTCTTTTCTTCTCATATCTTTTTCTTTGTCCTTATCTCATTCCTGTATTGGCAAGCCCAGACTCCTCTGTCCTGGCTTCTGTCTCAGCTCCCAGTCTCTTCTCCCAGAAGTTTATAATTCCCTTGTTACATACAACTCTTCTAATCTACTCTCCTTCCATTTACCTTCAGTCCTCCAGTCAGAGGTGTTTAATCCTCAGACTAACACAGCCCTGAGGAAGCTGCTTTGAGCAGGGATTGGACTATTGGAATCTTAGTCCAGAGGGCAGCCTTTACTGTGTGGTTTTATGATCCAGCCTGCATAGTTTTTTGATTCTGTGCTCACCAAGAATAACCCCTGTGGGCTTTTAGCTGTGAAATTAGTGTGTTTCTGCTTTATAGTACTCAAATTGTAATTTACAAAATGCTTCCAAGTTGGATAAGTTTGACTGGGAGACTAAAATGCGTGTGATTGTTCTATTGGCCTCTAGTGCTCCACAGTTTTAGGTCTATTGTCAAAACTTGGGCATACAAAGGCTGCTTAAAACACAAGTTGCTTGAACACGTAGGGAATAACATCTTTCTTTTTGCCCCTGTACCAAAAGCAGCTGAACCCTTTTCATCTGAAACTGCCCATGCCAGTTGTCTGAGTCACACCCTCACTGGAGAAATTTCAGCTGGAATTGTTGATAATGGCAATAAGCAACTGAGAATGAGGTTGTAGGGTGGGTTGGCAATTTTCCTGGCCCCTACCTCTTCCCTGGGGACTGTCTCCTGCTTCCAAGTGTTCCAACAGCTCAGTCTGTAACAGGGAATGATGGGGATGCTGTGACAGGTCAGCCAAGGCAACCTTGCTCTGCCAGAAAGCAGCCAAACCTTCAGAACCTTTCTTCCTCTTCACCACAGCTGATTTAACTGGGAGACAGGCAGGTCTCTGTGGCACCACTGGGCTACTGCAGCTAAAGCTCATGCTATGTAATCCTGAGGAGCAGTTTTGGGGAAAGGCAGCCAGTTGACAGAGCAAAGGTTGTCTTTATATATTCCCCCAGGAATATTTAGTAGTGAAACAAAATCTGAGGAGTGCATGAAAGCAGTTTATTTTGCAACCTTTCAAATAATAAGCAGTTGGACTTCATAAAACCAAAGGGGAAGGAAACCTGCCTGAACGATAAAACCTTCTGTGTAATATGTTTTGCAATTGCCTCTGTTGAGTCTTGTTTTAACAGAAGACCAAAGCAAAAACTGTGAGCTGGGAAATAAGGAAAGGAAATGGAATTTAATTTCTTATGCACAGTCTGCAGCAACACTCTGTATTTAAGTCAAATATTTTTCGGTGTTTAAAATTTTCCTTCCAATATAGCATGCACAGTTAGTGTTACGGTATGCTGACATTAAAAAAACCCTATTAAATATGTCAGTAAAATAAAAGATGCAAGTAGTTGAAAATCTTATACACTAAAAAAGTGGTCCTCATAATCTCAATTAAAACAAATTCAAGGGTCATTAATCCATGAAAGGGATTTAAAATTTGCATTAATTTGATTTTGTATCTCTAGAACAATGCCTCCAAGCTTTTGCTGGCTATTATGGAAAGCAGACAAGACAGTGAGAATGCGGAAAGAATCCTTTTCAACATGAGACCAAGAGAACTGGTGAGAAAGCTTGTGAATATTCATAAATCTTTTGGCTGAAAAAAAATCTGTCATTAAAACATTTTTAAAATTATCTGTATCTAAACTGAGAAGTGCTGGCAGCGTATGATGGCACAATATATAAGGATAGTACTAATTCACAAAAAGTACTTTAACAGGATCAAGCATGCATGATTTCAGTCTTTACGACTTCATTATTTTTATCCGTTCCAAGCACTTTTCTTTAATTGTTTCCTAACTAAATTATCATATTCTGGTAGACTGTCTTCAAGTGCAGTTTGTCAGAGGCTGGCAAATTAAGCTGGTACAGTTTGTGAAGCAGTGCTAACAGAAATGTGTGTGTGGACATATAATATATTTAATATACATGTATTTTATTTATTTATGTCTCATGAACAAAGAGAGTTCCAAGCAGTTGTTGCTGTGTTTTGGAAAAACACTGATGTTTATGGAGGTCTCCAGGAACTTTAAAGGGGTTGGAAATCTGGGGGGAGTAATTTCCAATACCACTTGACTGCGTAACAACAGAGACTGAGAGATCTGGGGATTCTTGAAGGATTCTGGGGAAGAATCTGGGGACGTTGTCCCTGCCCTTAGGCAGAGCCCAATGCCTGCTGGTTTCAGGGAATCACCACTAAGGTGGCATCTCAGCAGGATGAGGCCATCCCTAGGGTAAAACTGCAGGATCAGGCCTTGTTTGGGGAACCCTATGGTAGTCCTTTTGAATATTTGGAATTTCCCTAGCACCCTGCCCAAATCTTCCTTTCCTTTTGGTTTAGGTGTGGTTTTTCCTGTGAAATTGTGTTGCTGCCTGCTCTGATCAGAAGATCATGGCTGCACTCTTAAGTGCTGCACAACAGTCCCTTGCCATATCTAGACCAGTCTTTAGAAGCATTTGTGAAAATACCTGCTCACAAAGGCTTATCATTCCTGTTCCTTTCTCATGGTTGCTGACGAAAAATGTGGTGGTTTGGAGCTTCATAAATCCTTCAAGCTTGTCTTTATTCAGAAAGTGTTTCCCAGGCTGCTTGCTCTTCTTGCAGAACTGCAGGGCACCTATGCAGGCTGGATCTGAGCAGTGTCTGTGTTCAAACTGTGTTTTTTTCCCAAGAACCACATTTATTTAATCTCTCCCTGGCTGGATTTGTGTTGCAGGTGGATGTAATGAAGAATGCCTACAACCAAGGTCTGGATTGTGACCACGAGGAAGAGAATGGAGATAATAGCATCTCCCCAAAAGATGTTGGCCATAATATCTATATTTTGGCACATCAGGTATGTCTTACTGGTTTTGTGACGGCTTCCAGAAAAGCATTACATGGTCAAACTCCGCATTGTCACAGGTGGAGTCATGTACTTCAGGGGTAAGAGGGAAGTAACAATGTGTTTATTGATAAAAACCAAAGTTTGGTAGCAGATGTGGCAGTGGGTTAACGAGGTTCAATGGCAAGGCACACTTGATTACTGCATATAGGACAGGCTCAGTCCATACTGTCAGGGAGACCCTCCTGTTGAGTCATGATGTTAAGGAAGGATCCTCTTGCATTCTAAACTCCTTCTCAGATGGGAGTTTAGGTGCAGCTGGATCCAGACTTAGTCCCAGCTTTTCCCAACAGTTTGTCTAAAGGTTTATCTGCACATGATCAATCCATTATATCATTTAGCCATCAAGAATTCAGAGTTTAGCATGCTCTTAACCACTTACCAAAAGTCTCTTGTGGTAAGGAATCCCTCAGTCTTGAGAAGCAACCTTGAGAGCCATTCCCTGACCAAGGGGAGATCCTGAGTATATTGGTCCTCTCATTGAGGAGAAATTTCACACAAATTGTTATTTGTGTGAAATAGCAATGTAGAGCAAAACAGTGACTGTCTGCTTAGCTTTGTCTTCTTTTAACATTAACTGATCATTTCTATCAATCAAATCATAAACTGTGTTAGCATTACTGGTGTATTTTAAATAGTGCCTTCAGTTGTGATACCAACTGAACTTGATTTCAGAAGATTCCTATTATTTTAGATATACTACTTCACAAATAAGAATAATTTGGCCTTTTCACTGCTTTCTCCTTTTGAATTAGTGCCCTCAAGCTTTTTCTGATCACTTTTACTTCTTTACTGGTAAAGGTAGAATGTACACTGGAGGTTGGTATTTAATAGACTGTTTATTCTTCAGCGTAGCTGGTGTCAAAAATAGTTTATCTTTCAATTACGTTCAGAATATTGAAAAGTTTTGTGTAATTGAAAGAATAAGGACCATGAACTTCTTTGTTATATAATAAATTACAGCATTTGGTATTTCATAGAAGGGCCAAATTTAAAAAAAAAATGATTTTCCCTAAGTGAGAAGAAATAAACAGATGGGGATAGAGAGTGTTCTTCATTCCTTATGTTTATTAAGTGTTGTTAGGAATTGAATACTCGGCAGAAAAAAAAAAGAAAAGAAAGCAATCTATAGTTACAGTAGTGTTATACAATGTTTCTTTCAAGCAAAGAATGCAGAAGAACAGTTCCTGAGTTATGCTGGTGTGCTCACAGAACATTTAAATAAGTAGGTATTGTTATTATGTTGGTGGTGGTGTGGTTGACCATGTTCTACTCTCGTGCTGTTTGTGGGGCTGTACATAAGATACCCATCAGAGATGATAGTATTTTTAGAAAGCATCTGCAGCTCCTTACCTTGTCTGAATTTACTCCTTGTCTGAATGCTTATAATGAAAATTTAAATGCCTGCCAAATTGAAATGTCGGTATTTTCTGTCTTCTGCCTACAGTTTGTGTTAAATTACTTAACAGGGTCTGTGACATAGAAAATATGGTTTGGGGGAGTGGAATATAGGCCTAAAGCTGTATATGAAGTGACTGCTGGGGTCATTTTACACAAGACGTTAGTGCCAGAGGTACACCAGCTGGTTGAGGTGTAGGTTAAGCTCTGTCCCGAGGTTCATATCCACAGTGCTGGAGAGGTCCATGGTGCCACTCCACAGCTATTCCTGATCCATAGTTGGCGTTTTGGTTGCATAAGGGTGGATATTTTTACAGCAACTTACTGAGTTCCTTCCTGTTCTGTAAAATTAAATGTCATGATTGGCTGTGTATGCTGTAAAAATATCCATCTTTTTTACAAAAAAAAAAAAAAAAAAAAAAAAAAAAAAAAAAAAAAACAACAAA